CCTTTCCAACTGGCCCCAAAATTTCAAAATTATGGACCTCTCTTTCATCCAAAAAGGGGGCATGGGTGCCCTACACATGAACTTCTCTTGGCAAGACCAGGCCTTGGAGAGAAGACCCTGGTTCTTGACCTAATTCCTACTCCCACATGCTTGGGGAGAAGAGAAGGGATGCCCAGGATGGAGAAAGTGGGAGATACTTGAGTGAGAGCCAAAGGGGAAAAGAAAGGAGAGGTGGGGATGGTTCCTAAGAGGAAGCCTGGGATGTAGAAGTGGTAAAGAGAAGCTGAGCCTTAGAGGAAGCCCAGACATAGATGTGGTAGAGAGGAGCTGAGCCGGGAGTGCCAAGGAAGGAAAGCAGGGCGAACTTTGTAGAGGAAAGTTTGACGTTGGAGAAGGTATTAAGAGAAGAGAAAGGAAGGCCAAAAAAGGGTCAAGAGCAAGGGCTGGCTGATGGGCAGGGGGTACCCAAAGGTGAAGAGGCAAAGGCTAGGAAGGAGTTTCCCCCTTCCTTCCTCCACCATCTTTTGTCTCCCTCTTATTTCCCTTGATGGGGCCTAAGGGACCATGGGCTAGGGCTACTGTCATAAGCAGAAACATGAGGGAGCTGTGAAATCTCCTTGACTTCAGTAGCCCCAGAACCAGAATTAGGGGACTTGGAGAAGGGGGGAGACTTAACCCCCACAGCACCGGGAAGCAGCCAACTCCCCTTGCCTCCTTCCCCCTTCGTGGCTTGCGGTCTCTCTTCCCCGCCTCGGCCCCCAGGAAGTGTGAGTGCTGGGGGTGGTGAGGTTAGGAGGGGGGAAGCGTCATAAGGGGGATGGGGAAGATATGTACAAGCTTGGAGGGGCTGGGGTGGTAAGGGAAGAGCTCCATGAGTGCCCAGACCTAGAGCATCCTGGGGCAGAGGACCTCTTCTTGGAAGTCCTTCCAGTCCTCTAGTGAGTTGTGGCTTAGCCCCTTCAACCTGCATCCCCAACTGGGCAATCCAGATGGCTACAGTCCCTGGGCCCCAGAGGCCCTGGGAAGGGGTGGAGAAAGCTAGGGACCTAGGATTCCGGGGTCCCCGAGGACCTTGGACTGGCTGTCTGATTTCCCCACCCCCTGGCCCAGCCACAGGCCAAAGCTCTGGCTTCGTGCAAACTTAGCTCCAAAAAAACAGGAAGAGAACCTGAGGCTGGAGTTGGGGGTGGGGGCTGAGAGGAGAAAGAAGTAAGGGGGAGGGGTAGCCAGCCAAGGTACCAGGAGTGTTGGGAAGAGACCCAGGTCTCTCCATCATCCCTAGCAGGAAGATGTCACAGCCTGGTCCTCATCCTCCCTCGCTCCAAGTTGCTGCTCACAGAGAAGCCTGGCCAGGCCCCTCTCAGGCTCCCCAGGAGAGCCTAGAGGTAGGGGCCTTGGGAACCTGGGAAGGGGGGGCTCTGTGTGCCTGTGTCTCAGGCCCATATCTATTTTCTCCACCGCTAATCCTGGTTCCGCCTGCTGCCCCCCACATAAGCCTCACTCCCCTAATCCCCAGAGTGGGGGGAAGGGGGGGCCAGCTTTACTCAGCTGCCCTGTTCAGGGCCTCCTATCCCTGCCCTTCAGCTGCCTCAAGCCAACCATGCTGGCCCTGGTGCCCCCCAGCCCTGCCCTGGACACTGTCCGAGGTCAGCACCTAGAAAGTTCCCATCTCCTTTTTCTTTCCAAGACTGGGCCAGTGCCCTCCACCTTTTGGTTTCTTGGTGGTAGATGTACCCTAGCAGGTGCCCTGGAGCACTGAGGGATAGGTGACAGATGCTCCTACTTTTGCCCCCTTCCCACCTTTCTCACTCTGAACTCTTTCCCCAACCAAAGATGGAATAGGCTTGACTCAAGGCCCAGTTTCAAGAGCTGCTGCCCACCTGCTTGGCCGGTCTAGCAGGCCTGACAGTGAGGGGAGCCTGGGGGGTGGTGGGAAAGAGGGGAGCGCTGGGGTGGGGCCCCCGGTTCTTCCCCCTACCAGGCAAACAGACCAAACAGACCTTGCCTGGTTCCCTGGCACAGCTGCCCCCCCAACCCTATACACACCCATGCCCACAGGTCTTAGCAAGAGGGGGCATGCCAGGCTGGGTGGGGATGGGCCGCCTTCATGGGGCGTCAGGGGGCTGGGCACTGTGGGATGTAGAGGTGGGAAGGGTGCCCAAGGTAGGTGGGCTTTCTGGCACCAGTGTCCCACCCTGGTAGGTAGAAGGGGAAGGACTCCACCCCACCCACCCTTCCCACATATGGGTGGGAGTGCCCCCTGGGCCTGGTTGGCACCTGCATAGTTCCAGGTAGCAGTTACATTGGCATGGGTGCCAGAGCTCTGGGTAAGGACTGGGGGATTTTCTGAGAAGCTGGAAAACTATATGAATACCCTCTTCTTCCCACATGTGTCCTTTGCCTCGCCCCCTCTTTCATTGCTACCTTTTGGCCACGGGCATTGGATTGGGCCTAAGGAGTTAAATACCCACCCTTGCCCAATCTTTGTGTGAGTTGCTCGGCGAACCAGCCTGAGCCTGTGACCTGACAGCAGGGTCAGCCAATCAGCACCCCTGCCACACCAAGTTGCTATGAGACCAGCCCTGGGGTGGGAGAAAGGAGGCGGGCTTAGTAGCAGGAATGGGTGGGGTGGGTAGGGAAGGAGGGCAAGGGATGGGGGTGAGCCACGTGCCTATGGGTGCCCAGCCTCAGCCAATGGTAATAACCTGGCTCAAGGGACAGCTAGGACAGCCCCACCCATCCCCCTGAGGAGGGACAGGATCTACTAGGGCCCAGGAGGATGCCTACTGCTGCTTAAGTAGCTGCAGCCATCACTGCTGCTGCAACTGCAGCTGCCCCTGCCCCTGCCACTGTCCATTGCCACTTCTGCCACCACTGCTGCCCCCCTGGTTTTTGTTTGTTCTTAAGTTCTGGGGCCATTTGCCATTTGTACCATTTGTAGAATGCAGTCAGGAAAGCTAAAGAGAGCAGGGAGAACTCCCAGACTGCTTAGCCCCCAGAGAGAAAAATGTTTTGAGGACTTAAGGTGGGAATAGGTGGGCTTATCTAAGGACCTAGGTGTGGCTTACAAGCAGACAGACATATGGTGCTGCTCAAACAAGGCTTCTATGCAAGGGTCCTGGTGTGGCAATGACAGTGGCAGGCAGGGAAGCAGACATAGACAATGCAGTTCTTGTGTCCTAAAGAGGAAATTTGTGACCCTTGACTCTCCCAACTGTCTCCCTGCCCTACTAAAAAAAAAAAAACCCTATTTCCTATCAATGGTCAGAGCTGAAGAGTTGCTGGAGTGGCAAAGGATACTGACACAATGTCAGTGGGACTTGCTCTAAGAATCACCTGGGCTAACCTTTAAGATGAGGAACATGTCTCCCCAGGAAAGGAAGTAATTTGTCCATGGTCTCATAGCCAGCCAGTAGCAACCTGGCTCCCTCAGGGTGACTTGAGGGAGATTGATGGCAAACCTGTCCCCATGTAGTTTTCTTAACTGAGACCGTCTGTATAGTGAGCCCTGTACCTAGGTGAGGCCAAGGCATTTATTGAGTGCCTACTGTGTATCAGGCATTGTGCTGAACTTGGTCTTTTTTAACCTAGGAGGCAGATGGCATTACCCCCATGACAGATGAAGAAAGAGGCTCATAGATTAAATCACTTGTTTAAAGTTACGGAGCTTGTTGATGACAGAGTAAGGATTCAAACTCAAGCCTGACTAACTCCAGAGCCCAGATTGTCTCAGGATCCAATACTGTCCTCAGTTGCTCTAGACCCACAAAATGTCAGGGCTGAGAGGCTTCTATTCCCAGCTCCACCCCACCCCACCCCACCCCACCCTGCCTGTACAGAGAGATTGACTTGCCCAAGGTCATTCGGCAAGATAGTGGTAGAGCCAGGACTTGGAGCAGGTCTTGCCCCCTTCCAGCTGGACTCACCCCAACCCCTGCCCCAGCCCCAGACAGCCTTGGGACTGCTGGCTGCTCTGTGCCACCTGTGGCCTCACCTTGGACGGAAAGCACAGAGTGTGGGGCAGGACCCTGGGGTCTCTCCTGGAAAGGGGAGGACGAGGTGATAGTACAGAGGGTAGGAGTGGAACATGGCCTATTGGCAGTGGGGGAGGGGGCGGGGGCGATGCTTATCTGTGCGGGGCAGGAAGCGCCTGCGCCAGCCAGCCTGAGACACCCCAGCAAAAGGTGGCTGTTCCTTGGCCGGGGGAGGGGGGAGGATGTGGGGGGAGAGATGCTGGGAGCTGTGTCTCCCATTTGGCCTGTAGAAGGGGGGTGGATCTACAAGAGAAGATGAACTTTTGGTGGCTGGGGGAGGGGGCCCCAGGAGGGAGAGGCTGATGCTAGGAAGTTGTATATGCCTTACAGTGTCCTAAGTGCTAGAGAGATAGCTTGAGTTAAAGTACCTGGCTATTCCTGGCTTCCCGCACAGCTGGGGCCCCTGTGAATCTGAACTCTCTCACTAGTCTCTCCCTGGGCTACCAGGTTTCATTGCAAAAACCATTATCCCACTGTTCAGATGATGAGGCCTGCTGCTTGAGCTGCCTGGAATCTTCAGCCAATGCCTCATGAAGCCCGAAACAGGACCCAGGCCTGCTGCTACCTGCCTGTCAGTGTTTCTTCCAAAGGGAGGAATAGGGCAGGTGAAACAGGGTCTCTAGGAAAGGGCCAGAAGGACAGGGCTCCTGCTATCACAGCAGCAGGACAGAGTAGTATGGTGGTTAGGAGTAAGGACTCTGGGCCCACCGCCTGGGTCTGAACACTGTCCTGTACTTACCAGTAGCTTGGATGTCAGTTCACCTGTCTGACCCTCATATCCTCGTCTGTGAAACATGCTAATCATGCTTCAGAGGATTGTGGGAGGTCAAATGAGTGTCAGGTACCTAGAAGAATGTCTGCCTGTGGTTGTCCCTCAGTATGTGTTAGCTAATGTGGGTACTCCTTCCCCAGACCCCTGTAGCAGGGCTAAGCGCTCTTGACCTCTCTTTCTACTTGACCTTGCAGAAGAAGATGGGGAGCCCTGAGGATGACCTGATTGGGATTCCATTCCCAGACCACAGCAGCGAGCTCCTGAGCTGCCTCAATGAACAGCGCCAGCTGGGCCACCTGTGTGACCTCACCATCCGGACCCAAGGCCTCGAATACCGCACCCACAGGGCTGTGCTGGCTGCCTGCAGTCACTACTTCAAGAAGCTCTTCACTGAGGGTGGCGGTGGGGCTGTCATGGGGACTGGAAGCAGCGGGACTACTGCTGCAGGAGCAGGGGCTGGTGTGTGTGAGCTGGACTTTGTAGGGCCTGAGGCACTGGGTGCCCTACTTGAATTTGCCTACACAGCCACACTGACCACCAGCAGTGCCAACATGCCAGCTGTGCTCCAGGCTGCCCGTCTGCTGGAGATCCCATGTGTCATTGCTGCTTGCATGGAGATTCTGCAGGGTAGTGGGCTGGAAGCTCCTAGCCCAGACGAAGATGACTGTGAGAGAGCCCGCCAGTACCTGGAGGCCTTTGCCACAGCCACAGCCTCCGGAGTTCCTAATGGTGAAGACAGCCCTCCACAAGTGCCCCTTCCACCACCACCACCACCACCACCACCACCTCGGCCTGTTGCCCGACGAAGCCGCAAGCCCAGAAAAGCTTTTTTGCAAACCAAGGGGGCCCGGGCGAACCACCTAGTGCCCGAGGTGCCTGAGTTGCCCTCTCATCCTTTGACCTATGAGGAGGAAGAGGTGGCAGGCAGAGTGGGCAGCAGTGGGGGCAGTGGGCTAGGGGACAGCTATAGCCCTCCCACAGGAACTGCCTCACCTCCTGAGGGGCCTCTGAGCTATGATGCATATGAGGGTGAGGAAGAAGAGGAGGAGCTGGCATATCCCCCAGCCTATGGGCTGGCACAGGGCAGTGGGACCCCACTGTCCCCAGAGGAGCTGGGCTCAGATGAGGATGCCATCGATCCCGACCTAATGGCCTACCTAAGTTCCCTGCACCAGGATCCCCTGGCACCAGGCCTGGATGGCCAGGACAAACTGGTGCGCAAACGCCGCTCCCAGATGCCCCAGGAGTGCCCTGTTTGCCACAAGATCATCCACGGGGCAGGCAAACTACCGCGCCACATGAGGACGCATACAGGCGAGAAGCCCTTTGCCTGTGAGGTCTGCGGTGTTCGCTTCACCCGGTGAGCACCAAGTGGGGAAGGGACCCAACAGGGGCCAGGGGAAGGGGAGTGAAGAGTTGGGGGAAGGAGTTAATAAGTTAATAGACCAGAGAGGGAGGTAGGTGGTCCTGGAGGGCTGGAGGCATGCATGGGTTACTGTAGTGAAGAGAGACCAGGAGAAAGTCAAGTGTAGGGAGTCTGGGGCATAGAGGGTTTGTTGCCCAGGAAGACAGAGTTGGTAGCAGAGCACTGGAAGATGGTGGGGTCCACCAAGGGTATCCTGGGGCAATAATGGGGAAGCAGATGGTGAGGAATAGGAATGGAACAAGGCCTGGGACCATGACCAGGACCATCCTGATCACCTCTTGCCCCTCCCTGTGCCAGGAATGACAAGTTGAAGATTCACATGCGGAAGCACACGGGAGAGCGCCCCTACTCCTGCCCGCACTGCCCAGCCCGCTTCCTGCACAGCTATGACCTCAAGAACCACATGCACCTGCACACGGGGGACCGACCCTATGAGTGCCACCTGTGCCACAAGGCTTTCGCCAAGGAGGACCACCTGCAGCGCCACCTCAAGGGCCAGAACTGCCTGGAGGTGCGCACCCGGCGGCGCCGCAAGGACGATGCGCCTCCACACTACCCCCCACCTTCCACCTCCACCCCGCCCCCTGCTGGCCTTGACCTCTCCAATGGCCACCTGGACACCTTCCGCCTCTCTCTGGCTCGTTTCTGGGAGCAGTCAGCCCCCTCTGGGCCCCCAGTCTCTACCCCGGGGCCTCCTGATGAAGAGGAGGAGGAGGCGGCGGCACCCACCACACCCCAGGTTGAAAGTGCCATGGAGTCCTCTTAAAGAGGGACAAGTGGCCAGGGTGGAGCAGCACAAGGCCGAGGACACCCATGCCAAGCAGTGGGACAGAGTTGGAGTTGGGGGCACTAAGCCTTACTGGCATCAGAATCAGCACCCCCCCCCCCAAGCCCCTCATTCCAATTCCAAGCTGAGGTTTGAGGGCAGAGGTTCCCCAAATTGGGGTGATTCCCCCAAGGAGTGATACATGCGATATTATGTATATATTTACAGCTCTATTGTAAATGTGGGGGCCCTGTCTCCAGCTGCTCCTGGGGAGTAGAAGCAATAATGTACTTCTGATTTGTGGGGTCCCACTTCGGCTATGCGGGTTTCTAGGGGGTGGGGGCTTGGGACCAAAGCCTCGCCCCCGCCTCCACGCCCCTTGGGGGTTTGGCTGTGTAAGGGGGTGAAGCACTGCCCCTCCCTTCCGAGACCCCTCCTTCCTGGTTTCTGTTCCCTTTTCCTGGCAGAGAATTATGCAAAGGGGGCGGCAAAATAAGGGTAGGTGGGGGGAGCAAGGTGGAAGCAAGAAAGGCTGGGGGACCGGGCCTGTAAGGAAGGAGCCATCCCGGCCCCCCTATCCGCGGCTCTCAGCGCTGAGTCACGGGGTCCCTGCGCAGAAGGGGCGGGGTGGCCCGCGCGGCTCGCCCGCCCCTGGGGGCAGCAGGAGGGGCCTCCCGGCTCCGGAGCTGCGCCGCTCCCCTCCCCCCTCCCGCCCGCGGCCCCGGGCAGGGAATGTCTTGTTCCCGCCGCTCCCTCCCCGGGGCCAGAGGGCAGGGCGGGCCGGGCGGCGTCCTACCCAGTCCTCGTCCCCACCTTCTCCCCGCCCAGGTGCGAGCCGCCGCCGCCCCTGACTCACGCCGCCCCCGGGCTGAGCGGGCGGGTGAGGGGCGTGGGGCCGCGCGGAAGCTGGCGCCCCCTAGCGGCCGCTTGGAGCGTGTCCGCACCCGCCGGCTCCGGGAGAGGGGGCCTTTCCCTGGTCCTTGCTGGCGGGCTGCCAGCTGGGCAGGGGAGACTAATCCCCTCACTCTTAGGATTAAATCCACCCCAATTCTGTACATAGCATCTCTGTTGGTCTTGTTGAAATCTAGTTTCAGATTTTTAACTACCCAATTCTGCTTGGGGTGGGGGCATCTCCCCCCTTCATCGCTGGGTGCTGGACCCCCGTTGTGGCCTGGGCTCTGCCTTGCACTATTTCCTCTCCCTGGCCTGACGGTCCCTCCCCCTCCTTCAAGGGGCAGGTTCAGGGGCCCGGTGCTCTTCCCTCCCATGCACCCCCATGCCCATTTGCACAGCTGCCCAGGTACCCCAACAATGGGGCGGGGTCACAGGGAGGGGGTAGTGGGACCAGTCCCTGTATCTATTTAAGAAGTGATGATTTAATATATTGGGGTGGGGAGGAGGTCGGGTTTCCCTGGGCCTCATCTTAGCATTTCAGGTGATGGAGGGAGCCCAAGGCTGGGGAGACCTGGGGCCTAGCCCCAGAGATTGGAGACAATGTGGGCTCTCCTTTCCCTACTTGTGGCTTTCCCAGTCAGTGCCTTAGGGGGGGAGGTCCCCTCCTCTCCTGTTCCTTTTCCCTACCCCTGCCCCCCATCTCGGGTGTAAGTGACAGGAAGAAATAATAATAATTTAAGATTCACACTTGTGTCCACTTTTGGTTCCTTTATTCTTGGGATGGAAAGGAGGGATCAGGAGGAGGAGGAGGTGAGAGAGGGACTGGGGGTTCTGGAGCTGGGGAGGGGGCTGTTTTGGGGGCAGAGGATTTCTGTGGTAGTCCAGCAGGCTCAGGGGACACGGGACTGCTGGCAGACTGGTGGGTTTCAGGTAAAAGTTGCTGCCTGTGCTTTTCTTGCCAGGGGCCCTGCTCCTCCTCATCCAGGTCACTAGTGAGGAGAGGAAGAGGGGCAGCCTGATCACATTCTGGGTTTTTTTTTGTTTGTTTTTGTTTTTTTGAGACAGAGCCTCAAGCTATCCCCCTGGGTAGAGTGCTGTAGCATCACAGCTCACAACAACCTCCAACTCCTGGGCTCAAGCGAGTCTCCT